ACAGGGTTGGATCCAAGTCCAAAAAGTACTCGCCTACCGAGGTTCGTTGTCTGTACCGAGTGAGAAAAATAGTCGATTACCTTTGGCGTTGGGGCGCCAGTGGTCACTTGAGAGCATCGCGTCAAAGTAGCTGCCAGGAATGCGTAGTAGCGTCTCGCGCGCGGTCATAAACAGCGTGCCGCCGACGTTGAGGGTGACGATTGTGGTCGACGCAGTGGGCTCGTCCGGAACGTCGCTGCACGCGCAGCGCTTGCCCGTGAGGTGTGCGAGCAGTGAGAGCTGCGTCTCGATATGCGTCTCGCGCTGGCGCAGCTCGTCGTCGCGCTGCCGTTGTGCCTCTGCCGTCGTGACCACGTCGGTCACGAGCGTGTCCATCTCATTGACAAAGCAGCGCAGCGCAGGCGGCAGCGTATCGTTGCCGTCGAGAAGCGCTTCCATTGATGCATGCAGCGCTGCCCAGCGCGCACCCACACTTACACCGTCGACCATCGTTCCCAACTTTTAGCAAGTCATGCAAGTCAACGAGCGAAATATCCGGATTGTAGCCGGTCTATTATTATCCGGATGCGTCATGGCACAATCCTGCCGCAGCGGAGTTGGCATTTTGTGAGAATAAGATCTGAGATGCAAACTTGTGACTACTCATCGGTCTTTATGCGAATTGCTCGTCATGACGACTCTAACATCGCTACACGGGGAGGAGCTTGACAACCGCGCCGCCAGACAAGATGCGTACGACAGGGTACAGCACAGCGTCCATTGGCACGTGGTGCAAACTGGCGGGCAGTGGGATGCCGTCGATCGCAAACGAAACGCGTTGTTGCTGCTGATGCAACGTCACCTGGAGGAAGATCGGGCGCGGTTTGGTCGTATCTACAACGTGGGCCGTGGTCGGTTGGTAATGCGAGCTCAAAGCCCCAATCGAGCAGTCAAAAACCCACCCGCGCCGGTTCTGGGCCAGACGAAAGTCGGGCTCTTGAACAAAGTCGTCGAGCACCATGAAGCCGACAAGGACCTCACTCCGAAGCGTCACAAGAACGCCAAAGTTCGTCGCTGGCGTCGATGCAAGCACATGACTCCAGCCGTGCTTTTGACTGCGCGCTCGTGTGTTGCCTTCGTCGAGCGTAATGGCCTCGGAACAGTGTAGTGGGTCCCACTGCAATCGCGGCGTCTCCACCGGCACTGGCGGCGCGGATGGCGCTGGCAGCGGCCACTCGATCTGGAGGTAGTCGAGCATCTCGCGGAGCTCGTCCTCGTCCGTATTCGAGAGCCCACTGAGGTTGAGCGTGCCCGTGCGAAGGTACTTGATCACTCGCGCAAACGTACTCGCGTCCAGGTCCAAAAAGTACTCGCCTACCGAGAGTCGTCGTCAGTACCATTCACCACAGATATACTAGTAGATGGCGTTGTACCTTTTTCATTTGGCAGCCAGTGATCACATGAGAGCATCGCGTCAAAGTAGCTGCCTGGCATACGCAGCAGCGTCTCGCGCGCGGTCGTGAAGAGCGTGCCGCCGACGTTGAGTGTGATAGTCTTGGCGGGCGTAGGGAGTTGATCGACGGCCGTGTCCGCGTCTGTTTCGTGTCGATGGTTGTCGGCCTTGAGCTCTGCCAGCAGCTCAAGCTTGGCGTCAAGGCGTGCCTCTCGCTCTCGCAGCGCTGCTTCGTGCAGTCGCAGCGCTTCTTCCTTGGTCGCTACGTCCGACGCAATCGCAGACAACTCGTCGACGAGCTTGCATAGGGCGTCCGACGTTGTCTCGTCCAGTGCCGCCACCGAGGCTTGTAGCGCAGCGCAGCGGTCGTGCAAGGTCGGGCTGTCCACCATCGTGTCAAACGTTGAAATGCCAGTCATCCGGATAAAGATGACATACCGGATACAGATGGATTCCGTCACCGCGCCTTGGTGCTATGTCTGCGCCGCCTCGATACTTACATAACGCAGCGACCAGCAATATGTCTTATGCGCACACACTCGCACAGACTTGTTGGTCCTTCTGAAGCACCCTGCAATCGTGTACAAGTCCAAGCTTCTGCTATAGTTTATATATTTAGTGCCAAAAAGGTAGAAATGACCCCAAATTGTCGCCACCAAACCTTGTTCTTGCACAGGAAGGAGCCGCACGTTGGCTCCAGAGGAGAAGAGACGCACGATCGGATACAAGTCGACGTCGCTAACGACGTTGTGCAGGCTCATCGGGAGCAGTACGCCGTCGACCGCAAACGAGATGCGCTGCTGGAGGCGGTGCCACGCCACTTGAAGCAGCGCAAGTCGCTTCACCGTGGCGTCGACGAGGCTAATGGACGCTGCTTCGTCGTGCGAGAACACTCTCCCGTCTGAACAGCTGAAGAACCAGCCGCGGGTCGTACTCTTGCGGTCAGGCACCGGCGACGTCTCGTCGTCAAGAGGAAGGAACCCGACTTCGGCATGAGACCCAAGCATAATGAGCACGGCAAAGGTCGACGCTGGTTGTGACGCGACGACACTGGCATAGCCATAGGAGCCGTGCGCGGCAAGCGTATTGTCGTCCGCAAGTTGAATCTTCGTGGAGCACCGGCGTGGGTCCCACTGCAGTGGCGCCATCGGTGCTGATGGCACGGGCGCCGGACTCTCGATCTGGATCTGGAGGTAGTCGAGCATCTCTCGTACATCCGCTTCTTGGTTGATCGTGAGTCCCTCGACATCCAGTGTGCCCGTGCGAAGCAGCTTCATGACGCGTGGAAACAGGGTTGGATCCAAGTCCAAAAAGTACTCGCCTACCGAGGTTCGTTGTCTGTACCGAGTGAGAAAAATAGTCGATTACCTTTGGCGTTGGGGCACCAGCGGTCACTTGAGAGCATCGCGTCAAAGTAGCTGCCCCGCATACGCAGCAGCGTATCGCGCGCGGTCGTAAACAGCGTGCCACCAACGTTGAGCGTGACGAGCTTGGCCTGCGCAGGCCCTTCTTCGCGCACCACGTCGTTGTTGTGTACTTGTGGAGGGGCCGTAGCTGTTTGCTGTGCCAGAAGCTCGAGCTTGGCGTCGATGCGCACTTCTCGCTCTCGCAGCGCCGCTTCGTGCAGCCGCAGTGCTTCTTCCTTGGTCGCTACGTCCGACGCAATCGCAGACAACTCGTCAACAAGCTTGCGTAGCGCGTCCGACTGTGCCTCGTCCAGCGCCGCCACCGAGGCTTGCAGCGCAGCGCAGCGGTCGCGCAAGTTTAGGCCGTCGACCATCGTGTCAAATTTCGTCAAATCAGCCAATCCAAGGCAGCGTTGGACACATCCGGATATTGTAGAGACGGGATGCCGGATAACGCAGCCAAAATGCGCGAGCCAAGCTCACCGAGGCGTGACATAGCTTGTTCGTTCGGATGGCGACTTGACAACACCGATGTAGCTGCCAGGCACATCGAGTGATAAGTCTCCCGCTGCGTCGCACCGCGCGCCATCGAAGTAAGACCAAGGTAAAATGTATGGCCTTGGTGGGACAAATATTTTTAAAATCTCCAAGCTTGGGGTTGACAAGAGCGTCGAGCAGTCTTGATTTGCATTCGATCGCCGAGCCAATGGGCTCCCGGGCGAAGCATTAGGCATCGTCGGTGGTGGCGCCTGGACGAGCGCCGATGTCGTCACTCAGACCAATCACACGCTGCCGTTGTTGACAACCAAACTTGTTACGACCCACTTCAACAACAACAACCAAACTTGTTGACCATCATGAGGAGCTCGTGAAATGTTGCCGTATCCGGCGCCATTGATTGTATCCGGATGGCCGGCGACCCGGATTTGCTTACTCTGCAACAATCTGACACGATGGTCGACGGCCTGACCCTGCGCGACCGCTGCGCTGCGCTGCAAGCCTCGGTGGCGACGCTGCTGCTCGAGACACCGTCGAACACATTTGGGCAGTTGGCCGATGAGATGGCCGCGATTGCGTCGGACATGGCTACCAAAGAAGCGGCGTTGCACCTTCAGGAAGCCCGCATCGACGCCAAGCTCGAGTTGCTGGCCGAGATCGCAGCCACCAAGACAACTTTGCAGGAGCCGATCAAGGCCTCGGTGCGTGCAGAAGATCCTACGCTACGCAAGATCGTCACGCTCAACGTCGGCGGCACGCTCTTTACAACGGCACGCGAGACGCTGCTGCGTACGCGAGGCAGCTACTTTGACGCAATGCTCTCGTCCGAGCACTGGCTACCAAACGAAAAAGGTACGGCGTATCGTGTATAGACCAGAACGTACTATGAATGACGTGGCGCGCTGTAGGCGAGTACTTTCTCGATGTGGATCCTAGCACGTTTGCACGCGTCATCAAGTACCTGCGCTCCGGTGCGCTCGACGTGAGCGGGCTCTCGGCAGCGGACAAAACCGAGCTCTGGGAGATGTTTGACTACCTTCAGATCAAGTGGCCAGTGCGGGTGTCAACGTCGATCGAGGCGCCGCGATTGCATTGGGACTCGTCGCACTGCTCCGAATTCATTTCGCTCGACGAAAACAACATGCAAGCTACGAGCTCCAAGATCGTACGGGCCAACGTGCTTGGGTCGATGCCCGTGACAACGTTCGCTGTGCGCGTACACCTCGGTGACAATGTCGAAGTTGGCTTTTTGCCGCGGCACCAATTTTCGCCCAAGGCCTCCGAGTGCGGATGGTACTTTCACTGCGAGACGGGCACGATTCGCTCGCGCGGCGTGCGTTTGACGGAGCCGAGTATTAGTCTTGAGACCGGGTATCGATCCGTGTTCCTTCAGGTAACGTGGCATCGGGACCAAGAGCGCATCTCGTTTGCGGCCGACGGCGTGCCGCTCTCAATCGGACTGCAAGACGTTCCCACCGACGTTCCGTTGTATCCATTTGCTCGATTTTCGATGTGCGACACGAGCGTCAAGCTTTTGCCCGTATAATCTGCGATCAAGCATCAAGATTTTTCATAGTAAACCAAGCTAGCAGCGATAGTGTCGTCCTCTCCGACCATATCCTTGCATCGACTACGCGAGTGTACTGTGCGAGCCGCACTACTCCTTCCCTCGCGCCGCCGAGAGATAGAATATTTCATGTGACAAGTACGGAATGTGGCGGTGGCCAGTAAAGATGGCCATCACAACAGCTCGGTTCGCCGTTTCCATGACGTGGCAGTCCCAGCGACGTTTGAAACCGTCGCAACTTCAACTTGCAACATCCAATTATCGATATATTTTCGTTTCAAGTCATCCATGCATTTACTAGTACAAAATCAGCGCAGACTATGCCAAGCCGGCCTGCTGCATGAGCCCGTGAAACGTGCCGCGTTGCTGGAGCAGCGTCGCCGGCGCGTCAAACTCGTCGACCTGGCCTTTCTCGAGCACGAGGATGCGGTCGCAGTGCAAAATGGTCTCGAGCCGGTGCGCAATGACGAGCAGCGTCACGTTGACAAAGCACGTCCGGATCGCGTCCTGGATGAGACGATCGGACGCCACGTCGACGTTGGCTGTCGCTTCGTCCAAAACGACAATCTTGGACTGCCGGAGAAGCGCGCGCGCAATGCAGACGAGCTGGCGCTGGCCCACCGAGAGGTTGGCGCCGCGCTCGGCCACGTCAAAGTCGAGGCCGCCAAGGCTCTTGACGTACGAAGCCAGCTGCACGTGCTTGAGTGCGGCCCAGAGCGCCGCGTCGCTGGCGTCGCCGGACGGATCCAAGTTGAAGCGCAGCGA